ACAAAGGAAGAATTTACTTTCGTCAATTCATTCCTAGTAAAAGGGCACGATTTGGCATCAAAGCCTTTGTGTTATGTGAATCTGACACTGGGTATGTTAGTGAGATTGTCATCTATACAGGGAAAGATGCTAACCAAACAATTTCAAAAGGCCTAGCAGAGAAAGTAGTTTTGAAGCTCACTGAAGGCTACCAAGATGTAAATCATCATTTGTACTTGGACAATTATTACACCAAGGCTTGGTTGCTCAAATCCTTAGAGGAAAAGGGAATTTATGCAAGTGGAACAGCCAGAGTGGACAGAAGCGGATTTCCGAAGGAAATAGTGATTGCAAGTAAAAGAGGAAAAGATCGTGGATATTCAGATTGGAGAATGAATGGAAGTATTTTGACCACATCATGGCTTGACAACAAAGGGGTACATTTTTTGTCTACAATACATGAGCCAGAATACAAAGATGATATCCAGGATAAAGAAAAAGTTGTGAAGCGCCGTGGTAAAAAAGGACACACGGGAGCAGTTGAAATACCTTGCCCACCTATTGTGCAGCCATATAACAAGAAAATGGGTGGTGTCGATTTTTGCGATCACGTGATCAAATTTTACAACATTGGAAGAAGGTCAAGAAAATGGTACAGGAGGGTGCTTTTCCATATTCTTGAGCTGTGCATACATAATGCATTCATCTTGGGATCATGCTTCATCCCTCATGAAGTTGGCAAGAAAACTCCCAAGCGTCAAAACTTTCGTGAGGAGCTGATAGAGTTGCTGATAGGGCAATACCGTGCAAGAAAGCGCACTGTAGGTCGTCCATCTGTAGCACATGAAAATGAGCTCAGATTTCAGAATGTAGGAGTACATCTGCCTGTGTACAACACAGACAGAAAAGACTGCCAATTATGCAAAGAAACTGTGAAGTCAAGCAGAGGTGGAAAGATTGGCAAAATTGATCGACGTGCTGCAGGGGTTCATGTAACATACATATCCTGTGAGATGTGCAATGTACATCTTTGCTTGAATAAAGATAGGAACTGTTTTAAATTATGGCATACTAGAGTCTAATTTACTGGAACTCTTTCAAATCATTTGATTACTGAACATCTCAATTCATAAACTTTTTTTTGCATACTAACTTTTTTTGAATGAACTATTGTTTTGCTATTTTACCTAATATCGAGAATTCTTGAAAGTTTGGTCATAGCAATATCTTTTGGCTATAAGTAACATTATTTCTCTTGAAAGGTTTCCTTTTTTATTTCCTGTAAGTTACTTCAGGGATAGGTAATTTTCTTGTGATAGCAACTGGTATCAAAATAAGAACACGAGTCAAGCGGTTCAGAGCCAGATGATTCTTTAGTTGCAATAATTTACTGAAATAATAAAACAATTGAATATAATTTGGATTCCTGACTTTCTGATGATAGAACTTTATAGTAAATGCAATTTGCTTTGGTAGTGACCAGAACAATGTCCTCTTTTGGCTCCTAAATTATTGAAATGATGGGGAAAAATTTTTTTCGTCAGCCATTTTGAATTATTAATGAGATCACGTGATCATTAATTAGGTTAAATAATTTTTTTCTGGAATACTTCACAAACTGGCAATTCAAAAATATATACTTTACTGGGTCATAATGCACCATTATTCTTCCAAGAAAGACTTTTCTGATGCAAGTATATTGTATGCAAAAAAAACCCAGTCCTCTAAAGGATAAACAAAATATACAGTTACTTGGTTCTGTTTTTAGAGAGGGATATGGTTTATCCTTTTTTAATCAGTTCAGTTTAGTTTATATTTTTAAATCCCTCTGCATTATGCAGTGCATACAACAAAAAATACTATCAATCCATACAAAAAAGGAAACAAATTTGGATGGAAAATCAATTCAATAAAGTGGAGTCGGTTAAAGTCACACCAAATGTTGCTTGAAAACTTGCAACAGTAAACATAATGTCACTGTAAGGGAAGCTAGCTTTAATAGATTTGCATATTTGGGTCTAAATTTTATGTGACTGTAACAAGCAGTGTGATCTTAAGCAGAATGACTGTTAGCAGAGTTGATTGTATAATGTTTCCATACTGTAAATCCTTGAATTAGGCCCTTGGAAGCTTATTTATTCTTGATATTCTTGGATGGGGGTATTCGAGAGGGGGCTTGTACAAGGGGTGGGCTTATAAAATCATGGTAGACATCAAGAAGACATTCCTAAAAGACGTTGAACATTATAATAGGAACTTCTCTATTAACGTTTAATTAATTATTACCAAAATTATGAATTTTGGTTGAAATTCAATAAAACACCAAAGGCAACCTCAGATGGCAACAATCAACAAATCGATGGGGGCCAATTTGAGGATTTACAGTAGCAGTGGGAACTTATCCAAGGGGGGGGGGGCTTATTGACAATTTGTAGTTTTAGGGTGGGTGTTTATTCCAGGGGAGGGCCTTTTTGAAGGGGGGCCAATTCAAGGATTTACGGTACTATTAGTGAAAATATGAATTGCATGCAGGAAATTACTTAAAGGTGGTCCCCAACAATATGTAAACTAAACAAGGAGGGGTCCCTTCTATTCAAAAAGGTTAATCAATGAGTTTGGATGAATTTCAACAATTTGAGAAACAAACACTTTTGCATCTCACATGTAAAATGGTGCAAGATACAAAACTAACTCAGGATCATTGTCCTCCTAGATCAAAAGCTACAACGAAGATCAGAGGTGGCACTGAAATGTATCAAATAAAAATTTATTCACATAAATGAATCTATGACATAAGCTACTTTATTGTTGGTTTAGGTTGCTTTGAAATGAATGGCATAATTTCCAAAGTAAGAAGTCTAACTTTACTTTTTTTGGTTGAACATGCAAATGGTTTAACGCAGAAGACTTTTTGAATTGAATTGATTCAGCAGCACTACACTCAGAGAGCTCGATAATCTTGAATTTGGAATTTAGCCAAATACTGCAGAGCAATGCATATTTACAAATACTGGTACAAGAGTAAGAGCAATTTATTGCTAATTGGCTGATTGAATGACTTTTGTGGATATGCAACCCTGCTTGCAAACTACAAACTCCATCTTTGCATTCTTTGTATTGTATATACATTTTATGGATGACTTGTGTTCTTACAAATCAACAATCATATTATTGTAGTGAGCGCCTGATGGAGTTCGCAGATGCACGAATTGGTCCTGATGAAATTTTCCGTTTTTATAACAATAATAAATTATATTATGATTTGAAGAGAAGCCAGTATATCGAAATAAAGATTATGTGAAGGCATTTTAAGTTACAAGTCCAATAGGTACATACAGTCCAATAGGTCAGGACTCACCCTCTCGACTCATCGAAGCAACGAGTCCCTATCACAACTTTTAGACACAATTGCTCAGGTAATCAGTGTACTCGATCCATCCATCACTTCTCCACGCATTTACATAGACTTCAATGACGAAGTTGCTTATTTCTTTTAACTCAATTCTTCTGAGAGCGGCCATGCCATTACTAACTTCGCAAATTAACAATGGATTGATTCTTATCCGCAAGGTTATCAAAACAAAAGCATAGGACACAGGGAGACCGTACTTCAAAGCAGAAGGAAATGCTTGAGATTTTACAATAGATTTCATTTCATAAATATTCTCAGCTTTTCAATTTAAGTGAACAGAAATAAAATAAATAGGTGCCTCTAATCAGCTTGAAAGACATAGAAAGTACAAGAAAATTGACAAAGAACAAATAAAAGCTGAAAAGGACACAAGCAGGAGCGTATTGATACCTCAAGTATTGGGGGGTGTTAAAACAAATTACCCGAATTTTCCCGTTTTTCATAAATTTCCCGAAAATTTGATAAACAAGGATTTCAATAAAAATAATAAAATAGTTAATATATATATATATATCTCAGACGATGTGTAATAGAGCACCGTATAGAGTTAGCAATCTATTATATAAGACCGAGGACTTTCGGGAAATTTGCATTCGTTTCACAAATCCGAACCTTTTCTTGAAAAAGAAAGCATAATTCAAAAACTTTTCACTTTTTCGTAAAGCGATTTTCCTGTATCTCGTGAAGGAGGAGGTTAGGGGATAAGGGTAGTCATACCTGTTTAAAAAAGTGTCCAGGAGAGATGACAAATTCTCATCCTTCAAAAGTTCCAGCAAAATAATTAACCAAAATATATTTTGCACTCTGCCAGTGGCGATTTTAGCCCTAAAAATCTGGGGGGGGGGGGCTAACCGGGGGCCAAACTTTCAGTTATAGGAGCCGACGCTAGCTATTACTTTGGGAACTAGTAGAATGTAAAACAGTGGCGTGGTGGCTCAAAATTAGCTATCTACAAGGCACCGGTTCTTAGCTCCCTATAGATAAGTATGTCCTTGGTACAGCTCTATCAAGGCTTTTATCATTATGCCAAATAGTGTTATAAGTGGTGTAAGGAGCAGCTGTGTCCCCTAGGAAAAATAGCAAAGAACGATTGTTTCTGGGGGCCCCTAAAGGTTTGGGACCGTTTGTTATTTGACCAAAAGCAACTTTGTTTTGTTACTCAACTGAGTCTTATCTGTTTAACAATAATGCATCATGATCATGGTTTTTAACAGAAAAACTAAACTTCTATAGAATAAAAGTCTAATAGCTTTGTGAGGTTGATTGGTAAAATTTTTCCATAGTAGTTATGTCTTATATCCAACCTCCATGAGATCAAGCAACTCATTCTGTTACACAGAATTTCAAGTCATACAATTTCGATAAGCAATAGTAGATTGCCAAGGTATACTGGGATGGTATTGGGCTGACCCTGCGCACTCCACCGCATGAAGGTGGATCTTCGTGATAATATATAGCAAATATAGAATTCAAATTATTGTCAAGAATGAATTTTTTCGGTAACTACAGAATTCTTGGTAACTACAGAACTCTTGGTAACACTAACACTTGGTTTTTACTTGGTAACTTATTAGAAAGGAGCCAAATTTCATAAATGTCCATCTCGGTTACAAACCAAAACGCTTATCGGGGCCCCTAGTTTGTTAAATAAATGCAATAAAGATAGCATTGAGGAAAATAAAGAGAGCAAACCCTAACAAAGTGAAAAAACGATTGAACAGCTTCGGCAGAAAACATTGAATTTTTAATCGATTGGGGGGGGGGCAAACAAGGGGCAAGGAAACTTTTTGGGGGAGAGGGGCGTGGCCGACTATAAAGATTTTGTATCGACTATAAAGCTTGTGAGCCAATAGACCCATAAAAATCGTGGAAAGCAAAACATGACAAAAACAGCACCAGAGCTTTTCTGACTGCAACTAATAATTTTCTTTTAAAAACACTGCTCAAAAGAATGACACAAAATGCAAACGTTTCACTGTATTATCTAATTACAACTTAATTTTTCTATTTACTCCTCAAACTAAATATTTATCTAAAAAAACTTGTCATTTTTGGAAAAATTTGTCAACCAAGAAAAGCACAAAAATTCAAAGTATCATCATAGATAACATAAAGTTTCTTTCGCTCGAAACTGCAATAAAGGCCTTCCTTTACGTCAGAAACACCATTTGAAAGGTTTTGGACCAGTTTCGGGACAAGATCTCTCAAAAAAAAAATCAGTCAATTTTCACAAAAATCTTTGACCCCGGATATGCAAAAAAAAAAAAAATCATCAAAACTCACGAAAATTTTTTTTGGCTTGAAGCAAACTGAAATGCCTTAGTTTACGTCAGCAACACCATTTGAGATGTTTTGGACAACTTTCAGACCAAGATCTCTCTAAAAGAACTTGGTCAATTTTCACAAAAATCCCTGAACCCGGATATGCAAAAAAAATCAAAAAATCATCAAAAATAGAAAATTTTATTTTTGCTCAAAACAAACCAAAATGCATTAGTTTACGTCAGCAACATCATTTAAGATGTTTTGGACAAGTTTCAAGTCAAGATCTCTCAAAAAAGAACTTATTCATTTTTCACAAAAATCTCTGACCCCGGATATGCAGAAAAA